TCTATGTCCCTGTGTGTTTGCATGTGTGTGTATGTATCTATATCCATATTCAGCTAAACAAACTTAAGTTACATATTATTGTATTCTAGTCACTTTATCAGCAGTTTCCAAACCTTTCCCGAAGAATTACCTTCTGTTTCCCAAAGGAAATCTTTAAGAGAAACAAAATATACCAGATAAAAGCAGAACCCTACACATTTAGCATGCCCTGTCCCCCGAAATGCCTCCAGGACACCTGGGGCTTGTCAGGTTATGATTAAAATCACTGACTTAGGAACAATGCCCTGCCTTTTTACACGAGCAATTTAATAAATGGAAGAGTCAGACACGGTAAAATCAACTGAGAGAAATGACACTGAGAAAATCAATTAGACCACTACAAAACTTCTAATAGACATTTCTTTCATTCAGCTCCTCTCTCTTCCCTCCCGTGCAGTTGTTGCAGAAGGAGCCTGAGACTGTTCCTCCCAAACCCTAACCCCTAAGAGGTTGTTATGTGGGGGTGGAGACTGGAGTTCAGAGAAAAAGAAGCCTGGAGTAGATAGTTTAGGCCAACTCTTTGAAGAGTTAAGGGGAAAATCTTCACACCACCAAGATGATAAAATCTCAGGGCATGGAAATGAAGTTGAAAACCCAGGGAAAAAGAGATTTAAGAGGCTATTCAAAACTTAAAAAGAATCTTCCAACTAAACCCAAACAGACATTTCTCATTTCTCACAAAAGATACCTCACTAGGGTGAGAAATCAAAATAGGGTTTAGGGACAAAACCCTATGAAATCTGGGACACAATAATAAACAAAAATAGACCAAGATCCCCCTTTTCTCTGAGGCTAACTTTTTGGGGGGCAGGGGAGAGAACAAAAAGGACAAGCAAAACAAATTAACCAATTATATCTTGGAAGCTGATACATGATGGGGGTGGTGGAGAAAGTCAAGCTACAGAAGAGGGATCAACAAGGATACAAAAGACAATGGGGGTTGTGGTTTGCAATTTGCTGTTTTCAATAGAGTGGTCAGGAGAGACCTTAAGGAGAGACTAGCCCAATAAAAGAGGTAATCAGGAGGACATCTGCATTCCTGCAGCAAGGAGTCCATCTAGGAAAGAGCCCAGTGAGAATGAGATGGACAGAACAGAATATGGAAAAGAGGGTCTAGGATAGGGCAGATCACTGACCTTTAGAGGTCTTCCTCAAGACTTTAGCTTTTGCAGCCAAAGATGGAGAAGCTCTAATAAGACCGGGAGTTGACTGTGGCTCAGATCATGAACTCCTTATTGCCAAATTCAGACTTAAATTGAAAAAAGTAGGGGAAACCACTAGACCATTCAGGTATGACCTAAATCAAATCCCTTATGATTATACTGTACAGGTGACAAATAGATTCAAGGGATTAGATCTGATAGACAGAATGCCTAAAGAACTGTGGATAGAGGTTCATGGCACTGTACAGGAGGCAGTGATCAAGACCATACCCAAGAAAAAGAAATGCAAAAAGGCAAAACAGTTGTCTAACGAGGCCTTACAAATAGCTAAAAAAAGAAGAGAAGCAAAAAGCAAAGGAGAGAAGGAAAGATATACCCATTTGAAAGCAGAGTTCCAAAGAATAGCAAGAAGAGATAAGAAAGCCTTCCTCAGCGGTCAATGCAAAGAAACAGAGAAAAACAATAGAATAGGAAAGACTAGAGATCTCTTCAAGAAAATTAGAGACACCAAGGGAACATTTCATGCCAAGAAGGGCACAATAAGGAACAGAAATGGTATGGACCTAACAGAAGAAGAAGATATTCATGACCCAGATAACCACAACGGTGTGATCACTGACCTAGAGCCAGACATCCTGGAATGTGAAGTGAAGTGGGGCTTAGGAAGCATCACTACAAAAAAAAGCCAGTGGAGGTGAGGGAATTCCAGTTGAGCTATTTCAAATCCTAAAAGATGATGCTGTGAAAGTGCTGCACTCAATATGCCAGCAAATCTGGAAAACTCAGCAATGGCCACAGGACTGGAAAAGGTCAGTTTTCATTCCAATCCCAAAGAAAGACAATGCCAAAGAATGTTCAAACTACCACACATTTGCATTTATCTCACACACTAGCAAAGTAATGCTCAAAATTCTCCAAGCCAGACTTCAACAGTATGTAAACCATGAACTTCCAGATGTTCAAGCTGGATTTAGAAAAGGCAGAGGAACCAGAGATCAAATTGCCAACATTCACTGGATCATGGAAAAAGCAAAAGAGTTCCAGAAAAACATCTATTTCTGCTTTATTGACTATGCCAAAGCCTTTGACTGTGTGGATCACAACAAACTGTGGAAAATTCTGAAAGAGATGGGAATACTAGACCACCTGACCTGCCTCCTGAGAAATCTGTATGCAAGTCAAGAAGGAACAGTTAGAACTGGACATGGAACAAGAGACTGGTTCCAAATCAGGAAAGGAGTACGTCAAGGCTGTGTATTGTCACCCTGCTTATTTAACTTATCTGAAGAGTACATCATGTGAAATGCCAGGCTGGATGAAGCACAAGCTGGAATCAAGATTGCCGGGACAAATATCAATAACCTCAGATATGCAGATAACACCACCCTTATGGCAGAAAGCGAAGAAGAACTAAAGAGTCTCTTGATGAAAGTGAAAGAGGAGAGTGAAAAAGTTGGCTTAAAACTCAACATTCAGAAAACTAAGATCATGGCATCTGGTCCCATCACTTCATGGCAAATAGATGGGGAAACAATGGAAACAGTGTCAGACTTTATTTTGGGGGGCTCCAAAATACTGCAGATGGTGATGGCAGCCATGAAATTAAAAGGCGCTTACTCCTGGAAGAAAAGGCATGACCAAACTAGACAGCATATTAAAAAGCAGAGACGTTACTTTACCAACAAAGATCCATCTAGTCAAAGTTATGGTTTTTCCATTAGTCATGTATGGGTGTGAGAGTTGGACTATAAAGAAAGCTGAGTGCCAAAGAACTGATGCTTTTAAACTGTGGTGTTGGAGAAGACTCTTGAGAGTCCCTTGGACTGCGAGGAGATCCAACCAGTCCATCCTAAAGGAGATCAGTCCTGGGTGTTCATTGGAGGGACTGATGCTGAAGCCAAAACTCCAATTCTTTGGCCACCTGATGCAAAGAACCAACTCACTGGAAAAGACCCTGATGCTGGGAAAGACTGAAGGCGGGAGAAGGGGACGACAGAGGATGAGACGGTTGGATGGCTTCACCAACACGATGGACATGAGTTTGAGTAAGCTCCAGGAGTTGGTGATGGACAGGGAAGCCTGTTATGCTGTGGTCCATGGGGTCGCAATGAGTCGGACACAACTAAGCAACTGAACTGAACTGACTGAGCCATTACAGGATATTGATTTATATAGTCAACAGATTGCTCTGCAAGTGAAGAACAGACTACCACAGAACACAAGCATTCACTAGGAGATGCTTAAGGGCCTACCACCATTATCAGAAAATTACCGTGATATCTAGGAAGAGATGGGGGCTGAACCATGGTAAGAGCACAACAGGTGGTGAGAAGTGGTCACGTCTTGTTTCCTTTCTTCAAACATGGTTAAGTGGGCTCCATTCAACTTACCACAAAACTCCAAATCTAAAAGATGTTAGTAGCAATCGACTCCATAATGGATCACCAAGTCCTTTACTAGTATCTATGTACTACTGAGATATCTCATATAAATTGATTAAATCTTACTGAGTTTGACCATTTTAGCACTTTAGCCCATGAAATTTATACTCATTTATTCCTTCCTGGTGGTTCAGATGCTAAAAAAGAAAAAAATCCTCCTGCAATGCAGGAGACCTGGGTTCAACCTTGGGTCAAGAAGATCCCCTGGAGAAGGGAATGGCAACCCACTCCAGTATTCTTACCTGGAGAATTCCATGGACAGAGGAGCCTGGTGGGTTACAGTCCACGGGGTTGCAAAGAGTAAGATAGAACTCAGCAACTAGCAAGTTTGTATTACTTTAAAATGGTATGGGGAAGGGGAATGGAGACAAACTGGTTTTTTTTTAAATCTATGTATATTTCATTGAGGTCAACAGTATTTTTTCCCTTCTTTCATTTTCTTCTTCCCAGAGTATTTCATCAGAATTATTTTTAAAAAATGAAAACAAAAATGTAAGCAAATCTTCTTAAGCATTAATAGAAATATGAAGCACTGATGGAAATAGTTTCTTGTATCTTCTCATTTCCAAATGCTACCACTGACAGTCTAGTAATAATTTCTTCATATTCCTACTTGGCAATCTGTCATAGCTTCTTTTTAATTTCATTTCACTATTCAAATTTGAAGAGAAAAATATAAACTACAATATAATTGTGATTTTGATAAATGAATAGAAACATTAGAAAAAAGACATTTTATTCAACTCTGTTATCAGAAAAAAAAACTTGGAAGACTTTTTTTTTTTAAGCAGCTTTCCAATACTAGGGATCTAGTTGAAATTTTATGTCACACATCTTTTCTACCCTAAACAATTACTCTTCTTAAGACGGTTTGAGGACTTAAGTGTGGAGAAAGGAATAAAATATAAATTACACAACTTTACCAAGCAACTATTAGAAGACTTCATAAAGAGTTTGCTTAAGAAAAGGTTAAAAGTTCTGTGCCTTCTAAAAACTTTAGAAACTGTCCTCCATAACTAAAAGGAAAACTTTGTGATCCATATGTTTATTTGACACACCTTTTATAATAATACCATTTAACAGATGAAACAACACTCTAAAATTTTAAGCTCTCAGACATGTGTTATCTTATTTATTCTAGTATAAGGTGTCAAATTAACTGAAAACAGGCTGACCCTTAAGAAATCCTAAGAAAAATGAAAATCATATTTCAAAACCAAAACTGGAACAATTATTTATTAAAATATAAACATTCTCACAGAAATACTATTTGGATTTTTTGGTAAATTGTATGTTAAAAATGGGTGAGCAGTGTACAAAAGCAGCTGAGAGCTCCAGATCACTAAAACAGCCTTACCTTCTGATGTTTTCCACCGTTTCCATAAATCCTCAACAGTTATGTGCTTATCTTCTCTGTGCAGATGGCTGTGTTTATTAGTGGCATCTTTATATTTCATATCTTCTCTGATAAACTATAAAAGAGAAAACATTAAAGTATACTTAAATGAAAACAAAAATATAAGCAAACCTTCTCACACATTAATGAAAATCCTGAGCACTGATAGAATAGTTTTCTGTATTTCTCTATAAACAGAAAAAAGTAAAATTTGAAGTCCAGTGATTGGTAATTTTCTGATAACAACTGGCATATTTTTGGTATTTTATACTCATATTATTCTCAAATGCGTATCAAATTTATTTAATAAGATATCTTCTAATTTTAACAACAGCAGCAGTTAAAAGTACATACTTAATGCTCATTATTTATCAGGTGGGCTTCCTTGGTAGCTCAGCTGGTAAAGAACCTGCCTGCAATGCAGGAGACCCCGGTTTGACTCCTAGATCAGGAATATTCCCTGGAGAAGGGAGAGGCTACCCACTCCAGTATTCTTAGGCTTGCCTGGTGGCTCAGATGGTAAAGAATCCACCTGCAAGTTAGAAGATCTGGGTTCGATCCCTGGGTTGGGAAGATCCCCCGTGAAGGAGGAGACGGCAGCCCACTCCAGTATTCTTGCCTGGAGAATTCCATGGAGAGAGGAGCCTGGAGGGCTACAGCCCATAGGGTCACAAAGAATCGGACACGACTGAGCGACTAAACACACATATTTATCAGGTACTGCTATATGTTATATAGTAAACATGTCACATCAGCACACATACACACAGTCTTTTAACTATTTAACTTCATGATGGTTCTATAGGCAAAGTATCAAGTATCACTATGTTATAGGTGAAGAAACCAAGCAAGACCCAAAGAGGTTAAGTACTTTTCCAATGTTGAAAAAAGAACATCAGAGTTGAGATTCCAGCCCAAGCAGTTTGGTTATGCTCAACAGTATAAAATGCTGCCTCAATTTGACCAAATACTTAGTGACAGGGACATTTCATTACACAGTAAACAGCCTGAATCACTACATTGTATTTTTGTTCTTCTACATTTTAATTCATCTCTTCTAGTTGAAAGACATTCAATTACAGCATTTAAAACTAAAGTATTTTACAAAACTGAAGTAGTCCTCCCTATTAATCTTACTTTAAAATATATAGTAAGAAAACACTAAAAATTTTTTGCTAAAATTTCTTTGCTAAAAACCAACCCAGTCTGTATTGCCTCATTATATAAAATTCTTCAATTTCCCTCCACTGTCTACCAAATAAAAAGCAACTTTTTATGAACTATGCACTACTTCCCAATCTTGTTTCTGACCATCTTTTAAGCCTCATCTCTTGACAATTTCCACATATAAACCCATTACTCTAATTATGCAAAAAAAAGTTTTTGTAGATTATTATGCTTTTTCTATCTCAATATTTCTGATTTTTCTTGTTCAGTATTGTTTACTTGGCATCTTTACTGATTTTTTTCCTGATTCTGAAATTATAAGGTCATACAAAAGATTATTTAAGAGATCCATAATGCAGAAAGTGGAAATCTCTTACAGCCCCAAACCCAAAGTCATATTTTTATGACTTTTGGTGAAAGAGGAGAGTGAAAAGGCTGGCTTAAAACTCAACATTCAAAATACTAAGATCAAGGCATCTGGTCCCATCACTTCATGGCAAATAGATGGGGAAAAAGTGAAAACAGGGACAAATTTTAATTTCCTGGGCTCCAAAATCACTGTGGACAGTGACTGCAGCCATAAAATTTAAAAAAGCTTGCTCCCTGGAAGAAAAGCCATGACAAACCTGGACAACCTATTAAAAAGCAGCAACACTACTTTGCCGACAAAGGTCCATATGATCAAAGCTATAGTTTTTCCAGTAGTCATGTATGATTGTGAGAGATGGACCATAAAGAAGGCCGAGTGCCAAAGAATTGATCCTTCTGAATTCTGGTGCTGGAGAAGACTCTTGAGAGTCCCTTGAATAGCAAGGAGATCAAACTAGTCGATCCTAAAAGGAAATTAACCCTGAATATTCACTGGAAGAACTGGTGCTAAAACTGAAGCTCCAATACTTTGAAAACCTGATGTGAGGAGCAGGAAAAGACCCTGAGTCACTTGAAAAGACCCTGATGCTGGGAATGATCGAGGGCAAGAGGAGAAGGGGGCAGCAGAGGATGAGATGGTTGGATTGCATCACTCAACGGACATGAATCTGAGCACACTCCAGGAGATAATGAAGGACGGGGAAGCCTGGCATGCTGCAGTCCATAGTGTCAGAAAGAGTCAGACAGGACTGACATCATGAACAACAATAATGTACCGATAGTGAATATCCCCTTCCGACGAAAGGCTAACGTTTGCTTTTGAGTAGAGTTGCTCTCTACTGAAACTACAAAAGAAAATTTAACAGCTATATAATATAGAGAAAATCATTTAACCTTTCTGAGCTAAATAACCTTGGGTGTAAAATGAGGAAACAAAGTTTTAGGAAAATAAAAACCACTACTCAACATGTGGTCAGCAGACTAGTATCAGTCAGCAAATTGATAGCTGCATACAATACACACAGAAATGAAGAAATTTCAGAATTTAGAAACCATTATAGCAATCAGATAATGTGTTCAAAGAATCCTACCTAATCGTGTGGCAAATGAACTTACTGGATAGGCCCTATCCACAATGAATTGAAATGGAAAATCTGGTCCCTCACCACAGGTTAGCACTAATCTAGACAATCTGGAAAGCACTCTTCTAGAAGGTCCACTCTAGCACTTGTATATGCTATTGTTCTAAACAGTGCCTTACTCTTTTTCTAAATGCTCCTTTTTTAAAAAAAAGTTATTTTTAAAGCGACCTGCCTCATTGTCTCTACTTCTCTTGTCTATTTCCTATTTCCCTATTCTGTCCATCCCACTTCCTCTTCCTGACTGACATTTTCAGAATCCTGTAGATATACCTGCATAAATCACTGCTGCTGAGATGCTCAGAAACCATCCCTATCTTGTAAGAGATCCAAGAGCTAGAGAGAAATTCTAGACTGAAAAGCATGATGATTGACAGGGCACAGAGGAAGCCTGCCTTGGAAATGGTCCAGTCAGCTGGAACAAATGGCAACTGTTTCATTTATATGATACATTAAAAAAACAATGTCCTAGGAAATTCTTCTTAGCACATGAACACAGAGAACCCAGAAAAAGAGTTCAGTGCCTTTAGGATCAATACACTTCAGAAAATAAAGCTATTTACCATATATAAACTAGACGTGACATTCTGGATACTGAACTATTTTAGAAAACCTAAAATGAGTGTATAGATATCTACCAAAATGTGTGCTTAACAAAATAAAATAAAGGTATCAAAGTGCAATTTTTAAAAAAGCTTATAAATTTAAAGTGACTATCTACAGTAAAAGAACTATATTCTACATTTCATTTATCTTCAACATTTTGATCACGAAAGATGGTAAGAAAGCACTATATTTAGAATTACTTTCTGTTGACACTGCTTATTTAACTTATATGCAGAGTACATCATGAGAAACACTGGGCTGGAAGAAGCACAAGCTGGAATCAAGACTGCTGGGAGAAATATCAATAACCTCAGATATGCAGATGACGCCACCCTTATGGCAGAAAGTGAAGAGAAACTAAAAAGCCTCTTGATGAAAGTGAAAGAGGAGAGTGAAAAAGTTGGCTTAAAGCTCAACATTCAGAAAACTTAGATCATGGCATCTGGTCCCATCACTTCATGGGAAATAGATGGGGAAACAGTGTCAGACTTTGTTTTTTGGGGCTCCAAAATCACTGCAGATGGTGATTGCAGCTGTGAAATTAAAAGACGCTTACTCCTTGAAAGTAAAGTTATGACCAAACTAGATAGCATATTAAAAAGCAGAGACATTACTTTGCCAACGAAGGTCCATCTAGTCAAGGCCATGGTTTTTCCAGTGGTCATGTATGGATGTGAGAGTTGGACTGTGAAGAAATCTGATTGCCTAAGAATTGATGCCTGCTGGGCTCCTCTGTCCGTGGGATATCCCAGGCAAGAATACTGGAATGGGTGCTATTTCCTACTCCAGGGGATCTTCTAGACCCAAGGATTGAACCCAAGTCTCCTGCATTGGCAGGGTGATTCTTTACCACTGAGCTACCAGGGATATACTTCTTATTCAGTAAGATCAGTAAATTAAGAAATCTGAAACTAGAATTTGAAATCTTATGAAGTAAATCCTCAAATAACATACAGCAAATAATGTAAAGTTTCTTGGTAAACCTATCCAATTATGTAAACCTACTTCAGGAAAGTCTGCATTGACAATACAAATAAAGGAGTGCTCAACAAATAAATGACTCAAATATTCTTTTCAAAACATTTATCAGACGATTCTATTATATAATTTTTTCTAGTATGTACCATTAAAGAAATTATATATGCAGTTGCATGAAGTTATCTTTTCTTTTTTACTTTGATATATTTTCAAAAATTGCAGAACAAACAAAACGCTTTCCCCTACCCACAACTGAATTACTTGGTAATACGTTGTAGGCATGTTGTCCCATTACCACTGAATAATTCAGCATGTTTTCCTATAAACATGATTTCATCCTATATAGTATTGGTATGACCATATACATTAGGAAATTAATACTGACACTCTCTGTTTTGTACTATCTAATTCACAGAACACATTCCATATGCGCTGTTGTCCCAGTGAAAATCTTTGCAGCTAAAGGATTCAATCCAGGACCATGTGTTATATTTAGTCCATACGTCCCTTTGCATCACGCCTAGTCACTAAGTCTAGTCAGACTCTATGTAACTCCATGGACAGTAGCCCACCAGGCTCCTCTGTCCATGGAAACTCTAGGCAAGAACTCTGGATTAGGTTGCCCTTTCCTCCTTCAGGGGATCTTCCCAGTCCTACATCACCTGCATTGGCAGGTGGATTCTTTACCACTGAACCACCTGGGAAGCCCCACGTGTCCTTTTGTCTTCTTCAATTTAAAACAATGAATCAATCTTTCCTTGACTTTCACAACCTAAAAGAAACTCACCTTTTAAAAAACTGTACCTATAACATATAT